TTTTGATGCGGGCTGTAGGCTCTGGATTTTACCAGGGCGGGAGTTTACCTATTTACCAATATCCCTTTTTTTTTACCCCCTGCTTTTATGAGTTTTCAAGTAGCGAAATATCTCAGAATGCGAAGATGGCGTAGATAGGGAACTTTGTACGCTGTAGGGCCGCAGTTTTTTCGCTGTCAAACCTGGAAACCCCCCGCTGTTGTTGAAGACACTTTGATAGGAAACTCATGCATTCTGCGAACCTGCCGATGGAGATATCCTTCAGGCCGTATAGGACTAATCTCCTAATGAAGAAATTCACGATCAGAAAGGACTCCTATATCACGTACATAGTACGGAGTATTCAGGCGGATTCGAGGCAAGCACGTCACCATTGATAGTTACCATTGATAGTTGGGCGAAGACCTCCTATTCCTCATGGTTCCACCCTTCGGTATTGAGTATCGTTGTAGGGAATCAAAAGATGGAAATGTCTGAAAGTCTAGAGATGTCGCTAAACATAGTAGTTAACTAATAAAGTATCACGACATTCGCTGCTGTTGTCGCAACTTCTTCGTACCTAGGTAACGTTGCTGGAAATCGAGGGGTCATGTGATCCTGTCTAGGCAGTGCGTGGAAATACCGATCGCAGGCCTTGGTCTCAGTTGTACGCAACGGAAGATGTCGTGGAAGCAAGGTTTACATAAGGCACGAAGCGAGTCACATGACTTGGATACTTCCAGCCGGGAATAGCGCCCAGCCTGGAAGACTCCTGATACATATATATGCCCACCTCTGATAGGAGATATTGAAAAAGAACCTCAACACGCAGATGTCTAGAATGGCCTATTGTCTGCATTGACGGAGACTATAGTCTCCCCTTTCACACTTCTATGTGTCTGGAATCTCGAGTCAAGGGCAAGTAACTTAAATCCTAAAAATGAAATTTCTCCCCTGCCATATATCTCCGCGTCCGATACTATATCGCATGTCAAACGTATCAATTTCATGATATAAATTAGCAAAAACATTATCTGACAGTACTTTCTAGGGCTTGGAAGATACTGGAGGATCCATCGGTTCATACACCCGCATCTATAGTCGATCCCTGAGGCGGCCGTTTGCCCAATATATCATCGTGAGGATGGCAGAAGTCGACATATGATATCTGTTAATATATTAAAGAACACTGCCGACGCCATTCGATATTCCTCATTATTTTTTTTTTATTTTGAACCGTGCTTGCCAGTGTTGGTACACAGGGGGTGAATCGGTACTGGAAACCTCGACGCAGAGTTCCCATCGGCTTTCTCAGCCACATTCTCAAATTTTGCCATGTTCGGAATGGCTGGAAACTTGCTTACTGAGACCCACGACCGTGCGGAATTAACCAAAACCACTCTTTGTGAAAAAGATTCATTGCAGGAGATGCTAGAGATTCATCATGGCAGCGAATTCCACGCCCATGCTTCAACCGTAAACGACACTATCGCAGACGTCACCATTAAAACCCTCCAGGCGGCAAAACCACAGATACCAAGTCCTGATAGTCAATTACCCCAACAGCAAACCCAATATGATGCGAGAATTAATTTATTATCGAAAGACTCACAACTTACCTCATCTACAGATTTTCTAGAGGATAGTTCCCAAGGCTTAGATCGTTCGTCACGGGAGCGAGATTCCTTCACCGATAGTCATCATGAAACACCGAATGGTTCGATGACCTCGGCGTCTCTCGTATCTCCTTTGCCTCCTCCTAAATCTGCCTCCCCCAGCACACAGATGAACCCCGATCTTACTCCAAAGAGTCAACCGGCAGATTCGGGTTCAGAATATCGTAAATATAGACCCAGGTCGTCGATACCCGCGCGACTTTCGGCATCCACATATGCTCAACAATGTATTGCTGCGGCTCACGCCTCGCGACTCAATCCGTACGCGTTGCACAAAGGCGAACAGGCCTTGCTGCAGGATGACCTCTGTCATCTCCACGTGACAGTGTATCTCAATATTCGGAATGGAATCCTTCGACTGTGGACAAGAAATCCAATGGTCAGCGTTACAAGAGAAGAAGCACTTGGCTGTGCCAAGGACTATCGATGGATGAATCTAGCGTCTTTGGCGTACGACTGGCTTGTTCGTAATGGGTATATCAACTTCGGGTGTATCGATATTCCAAAAGCACCAATGACCTCGAAAAGAGGCCGGCGGAAGGATGGACCAATAGTAGTTATAATAGGGGCAGGCATGGCAGGCTTAGGTTGCGCTAGACAGTTACAGGGACTTTTTCATCAATTCCCGGAAAATACCACTCCACCAAAAGTGATTTTGTTGGAAGGTCGTAAGCGGATAGGTGGACGAATATATTCGCACCCTCTCAAATCTCTACAATCAGATAAATTAGCACCAGGCTTACGATCTACTGCTGAAATGGGAGCACAAATTATTGTGGGATTCGACCATGGAAACCCTCTGGATCCAATCATTCGCGCCCAGCTGGCTCTCCGATATCATCTATTAAGAGATATCTCAACGATTTACGACATTGATGGTACGCCCGTCGATGAGCTTAGGGATGCAATGGCGGAGAAACTTTACAATGATATTCTTGACCGCTCCGGGGCTTACCGTCATAAGGCAGTGATCGCTCCTGTAGCCGAAGGTGACAGGGAACTGATCGATTCGGGCCGTGACTCGTCTGCCGACGATGGGCTCACCATTAGACAATATGAAGAAGCGGCGGCCTCAGGGACAATAGGAATGCTGTTGCCCGCGAAGCGTGTTCGAAGGGGTGTTAGCCACAAAACTCCAAATGTTAAAACCTCAGCCGGAGTTGCGCTCGCTGATCTTGGCGCGACCAATAACCATTCAGCAGCCATTGCATGTCAAGCAATGGGATGGAAGTTGAGGAATGGCGTTACTAGTCATGATTCCATATCCTTAGATGCAATTGCGAGAAAATCCAAAACACAATCACTAGGAACGGTTTTGGATGATGGAATTAGGCAATACCAAAGACTCCTACCGTTGACACCCCAGGATATGAGATTGTTGAACTGGCATTTTGCGAATCTAGAATATGCTAATGCTGCAAACGTTGGGAAGCTTAGCTTATCCGGTTGGGATCAGGATATGGGCAATGAGTTTGAAGGCGAGCATGCTCAGGTGGTGGGAGGCTACCAGCAAGTACCGCGCGGACTCTGGTCTTTCCCAGATAAACTGGATGTTCGAACCGGTAAGATAGTGACGAAGATATCCTACGATCCGCGAGGGGTGTCAAGCAATAAAACTTTCGTCCATTGCGAGGATGGTGAAACTATCCAGGCAGATAAAATCGTTTTCACTGCGCCTCTAGGTGTGCTCAAAAAGGGATCTGTCCAATTCGAGCCACCTCTGCCGGAATGGAAGACAGGCCCCGTGAACAGACTTGGTTTTGGAACCATGAACAAGGTTATTCTCGTGTTTGAGAAATCATTTTGGGATTCTGAGAGGGATATGTTCGGTCTTCTTCGGGAACCTACAATCCAGAACAGCTTATCTCAATCAGACTACAGCCAAAACCGCGGCAGATTTTATTTATTCTGGAACTGTATCAAAACTACAGGGCTACCAGTATTGATTGCGCTCATGGCTGGTAACGCTGCTCACCAGGCCGAGAGGATGACTGACTCTGAAATTCTCAGCGAAGTTACATCCCAACTTCGCAACATTTTCAAACATGTTGCCGTGCCAGATCCCCTAGAAACCATTGTCACACGCTGGGGTCAGGATAAGTTTGCCAATGGCAGTTACTCCTACGTTGGTACAGATGCACTGCCTGGGGATTATGACCTTATGGCCAAACCGATCGGGAATTTGCACTTCGCTGGTGAAGCTACCTGTGGCACTCATCCGGCTACTGTGCATGGAGCCTACCTCTCTGGGCTTCGTGCTGCGTCCGAAATCCTCGAGTCCATTATTGGACCAATCACTTTCCGCAAGCCTCTTGTTCCTACCAGAAGCAAAACAGCAAACGCAATGTCTACCACAACGGTGAATGGCACCACCTCTAATGGTACTCTATCCAACGGACGAAAACGAAAGGAACCACCACCAACCGGAAACCCGGCAAAAAATGCCATACACGCCGAGAAACCCACCGCTGCACCCCGCGCAAATAACTCCTTCCCATCAACATCCTTCCTCCGCGAGGCCTACGATAAAGCAATGTGGGAAGCAATAATTGGCGAACTCGGCCCCGCCGAGCCACGGCCAGCAAAAAAACCTCTCAATCCATTCCTCCTCTACCAAAAGGACTACTGGCACATCTGCAAATCGAAATGCGATGACGCCCGACGCGCCAGCACAGGAAACGCCAATGCCAAAGCGCCACGGGACGAGATCCGCCAGGCCCTGGGCCAGATGTGGCGTGATGCCCCTGCGGACATCCGGCAACCGTACCTTGACCAAATCGCTGTACATCGCCGTGAAAACGACGAGTCGCTGGAGAAATGGAAGGAGAGGATCATTGAGTGGGAGCGGAAGACGTATGAGGTTAAGGACCGGTGGTGTGCGGCGAATCCGTTTGATGCGTTCGAGATCCAGGCTACGAAGAAGCATTTGGAGAGCATTGAGGGCCTGGATCAGAAGGGGGGTTTTGGACTTGAGGTAGGGAGAAAAACTAGGAAGGTTGGGTGAGTGGCGTGGGAGCTTTCTATTTCCTCTCTTTCGTGTTTCTTGTTGCAAAAAATTACGGGCTATTATGTTAGCATGCCATGTTCCTTTTTCTATAGGTACGGTAATTTTTCATTTTGCATCACACTGGTCTTCTACTCTGATTTTCATTAGTTAGAGGCATCCAGTCGGTAAGGTGTCCATTTGGCAGTTCGTGGGATGGGTGGAGTCTGGTTCTTCCGGTCATTTCCCCTTCTTCTTCTTCTACTAAGGGAATTTCTCATTGATGGACATATGTGGGAGGCACAGTGTTCCCATTCGTTACATGGCGCATTACTTCTTAGTTTTCTTGCATTTCTCTTAAATCTTTTTTCTTTTTTCTTTTTTCTTTTTTTTCTCTTCTTTTTTCATTGATTCTGATTCACAATTGTACTGCATGTATAATTACTGTGTTTGTACACCGTTTTATGCTTTCCTTTTCCCCTTTCATCACCCTTCCCGTCCGTCTCCCGAGAGGCAAAGAGGATGAAAAACAAAATAATGAGATGCCAATTCTATTAAAACGGAGGAAATGTTAATAAAATGAGAGCCGACGAGTGATACTCGTGCTAGCGGAATCTATTCATCTAACCTTCTCACTAGGCAAATCCATGGAGCTGTTCAGTGTAGGCCACTGGGGCAGAAGAGCTCGATCAACCACCACCAAGCTAACTGGTAACTTAACTAGTTAAGGGGCCAAACCATTCCATATATCAACATAGAGGGTAATTTGAAAACAGAGATATTTCTATAATTGTCGTCTAACCCCCGGCCAACCCCATGCTCATCCATCAAATGGGAGTTTTATTGGGGCACGGAAGCAAAAATTGTATAATAATAATCTAAAACAAAAAGAAATAGAATCGCCTTCGACCACTTGCTCCTGTTCCGAAGAGCACCAGGAAGCCAGTGCTGGCTCCAATCCCGTTTTCTTCGCTGCTAATCTAGAAAACCCTCCTGCTACCTATCTATCTCTTCTTACAGCAGAGGATTTGACGTATATTCCAATGACGGAGCTCCTTTCCCTCCTTCGTTAGTGGTAGAATGTTCGAGCGTCGAGGTAACGACAGGAGGTTCATCAGCCCCTTCCGACTCGGCAAGGAATTTCTCAGCTTCAAGCGCAGCGATACAACCGGATCCTATATACCAATCACAAAAGAGATAATATGAGTCCAGTGGACATCTAAAAAAAAAAAGAAAAAAGAAAAAAAAGAAAAAAGTAGAGACGGAAGGAATATAGATAATACATACCCGCACTAGTAATGGCTTGTCTGTATCTCTTATCCTGCACATCACCCGCAGCAAACACGCCAGGGACACTGGTATAACTCGTCCCGGGCTTCGTAAGAATATAACCCTCCGCATCCGTCTCGACCTGCCCCTTAACCAGTGCCGTCGCAGGATCGTGTCCTACAGCGTAAAAGAGCCCATTGGCAGGCACCACCTCCTCATTACCAGATACTACATTCTTAATCTTCAAATGGGTCATGAGGCCCCTTGGCTCCGGCTCGCCCAGCACCTCGAGCGCAACGGTGTTAAACTTCACCTCAACCTTAGGATTTGCCAACAGTCTCTTCGCCATCGTCTTGCTGGCGCGCAGTTTATCCTTGCGCACCAACACGGTCACTTTACTTCCATACTTGGTCAGGAACATAGCCTCCTCCGCGGCCGAATCGCCCCCGCCAATCACGAACAATGGCTTGTTGCGGAAAATAGGAACGGCCCCGTCACACACCGCGCACGCACTGATGCCGTTTTGCCAATACTGCTGCTCACCGGGCAAATCGAGTCGGCGGGCATTCGCGCCCGTGGCAATGATGAGGGCATCGGCCGTGTGCGCGGCCGCATCGTTGGGGCCATCGGAGTACTCCTTCCATACTTTGAAGGGGCGCGAGGAGAGATCGACGCGCGAGACTGTTTCGGTGATGATCTGTGTGCCAAAGCGGACGGATTGGGCGCGCATGCCGTCCATGAGTTCGGAGCCGTTGATGCCGTTGGGGAAGCCGGGGAAGTTCTCGACGTCGGTGGTGGTGGTGAGCTGTCCGCCGGGCGCGGTGTTGTTGGCCATCATTCCTTCGTATAGGACGGGCTTTAGCTCAGCGCGGGAGAGGTAGATGGCTGCTGTGTGCGCAGCGGGACCGGAGCCGATGACTTTTTTTGCCCTCCCCTCATGGTTAGAAGATGTGTATTGGGGTCGGGTGGAGGGGGTAGCTTCCAGATGTTTTGATACTATATCGGGTCCAGAAGAATTGAAGTACTCACTGACAACTTTGGAGTGCGCCATTCTGGACGAGATATGGGCAGTCTTGACGCTCAATGGCGTCGTGGGGGTAAGGGAGAGGGCAGCGCCGGAGGGGGAGGGTCTGTTCTGGAACGAGGCCGCAGCCGCAACAGAGAGACCGACGGTGGATCGGAGGGGGGAGAAGGGAGCGCGGCGGAAAATTGAGGAAAACAGCTTGATGATCTTCTTTCTATACTAGTTGAGAAGGGGGAAGGAAGATGCTAGATGGTGTTGTTGGAGGGTTTTATTTATGGATGTCTGTCTGCAGTGTTGTAAGATGTTGCTTTGGTGGCGGGGGGTTGCTAACTTAGTTGTTAGTTAATAATCATTAATCTTTAGTTATAATATTATACGTGATTTTTAACTTCATGGCCTGATCAAGCTGTATTAAAATAACAAATATATTTGCTGTTTATTATATATATATTTAAGACTTTCAAGACCACTAACACTCCCTGATTCAACAGACAAAATGCTTTTGCAAATATTCTACTTATATTCCTAGATTCATTATGAATGACTGTTTTAACCAGAACAAACTAAATATTATATATAACAACACCGCCAGCTACATAGCTGGCTCATCCCACTCAACGCTAGATTCCACATCATTCGTCTCTCCCGTTCTTGATATTTATCTTGCTTGTCCCTGCTTCGTCTTGCGTAGAATCCCATCTAGCCTCTCGTCTCCGCAGCCAATCCCTTGACTCTGCATTTGAATTGATACAGCTGCATCAAAACCTTCCGACGGGAGATTGCACCAGGACTGTTGCTGTAGCTAATCCAAGTTGAATTGAACCTATACAAAGAGAATTAGCGGGGATTTTTTTGGGGGGGGATTTTTATTTTTTTTAATTTTTTTTAGAATAACTAAATTAAAATCTGGGCGGGTGAGTGACTCTTCAACACTGTTTGTGTTGACTCTTCCCCCTCGCCATGGCCAGGCCTCTTTTGTATGTTACCAAGCGTCAAAAAAATACCGAGATATCAGCTATTTAGACAGGATGGAATGGCCGGATGTGTTCAAGGAGATTCAGAATATGTGATACAATGATCATTGCTTTTACTCGCACATATGATAATGTGCCTGGAATATTAGTATAAAGGAGGTTGGTGTTGGGGAATAGGCATAGGACAAGGCAATAAAATAAATAAAATAAAAACACTCTCTTGAGTTGAAAAGAGTATATTCGAAAATTTGCGTGTTGGTATCCAGCCAGTAGTTAACAAGTTAGGTACAGCATGAAAGAAAAGCAAAGAAAATAATACCTGAACTAGTTGTCTTGTAACCCTCAAATTCCTCCATATCAAACCAAAAGCACAGAAGAGAGCAAACCAGAATAGGAAAACAAAATATAAATATAAATATAGAAAGAAGAAGAAGAAGCAGAAGAAAAAGAAAGATAACAAAACGACCACAAAACCGCTAAATGATCCCAAGCCACTTCTTCCTCGGCTTATACGCATCCACCCCGCTGTATCCCGGCTGGGGAGGTGGTGGGAGCGGTGGTAATCCGACGTCATCATCATCATATTCATCATATTCATCATTATCTTGACCTTGGTGGGGATGAGGTTCCTCCTCCCCCTGCCCATACCCATCATCATCATACCGTCGTCTCTGATAACCTTCCCCAGCACGGCTGAGTACCTGTTCCCGGTCCGGCTCCTGCTCGAGTCCCCGGCCATGACTAGGCCCATGCCCATGCCCATGCCCATTGCCATAACCCAGCTGCCCCATATCCGGTGCCGCGCCGCCATCCCCATCCTCCTGCCCCTGCTGTTCCTGCTGCTCCTCCTGCTCTTGCTTCTTCCTCCCGCCAATCTTCCACCAACGCTTCTTCTCCCGCGGTTCACTCGGTTCAAATGGCCCCTCAAACCATAGCGCAGGCACCAGCACTCGATACGGACTTGTGATTCCCGCCGGGTCCCGCGGGTTCGTCTCGCAGTTCAAGGTGATATCAAGCCCTCCCTCCAGGTTTATGAAGTTCTGCAAAACGAAGGCTTCACCCTTCGCTTCACGTTTAATCTCCTTGGCGGATAGGTCGGTGCGACGGCGGAGGAAATTACTCCCCGGTCGTGGATGCTGTGCTGGATCGTCGGTTTGTTGTTGGTTTCCAGCCGTCATGGGCCTTTGGGGTTGGGGCGGGAAGTAACTATCTTTTGCTTGTGCTGCGGTAGAGGGGAGCCCGTCGTAGCTCATGCGGCGCTTCTCCAGTCCGCGCAACGAGAGGCTGCGAGACGGTGGGGGACCGCCGCGCTGAGATAGTTTCCGAAGGAGAGCTGAAGGCCTTCCATCGCCTCTAGATAGGGATAGGGATCTCATCAACTTTCCAGGACGGCCCGCAGACGGGGTGGGCGGTTCTGATTCCGTCGGTGTCTGAGGCGGAGTAGACCCTGGGAACATTTATCAATTAGCAGGGTTGAATTTTGAATGATAGTCACTAGTCACTCTATATAAAGTTATTTCTTGCTTGAAGACTCACCAGGAGCATATTCTCGAATAGAACACCAGTTCCTTCTGGGAAGAAGGCGCTTGTTGTTTCGCGGCTTTCCATCAACATCAAACGCAAATATTGCTCGCATGTCCTCGACCGTCTTCGTATCTAAAAAGTGAAGCTTGTTACGTTTATTGAGAGCATCCGCCATCATCTCCGAGGCGGGCGCATTGACAATCGACGAAGATATCACATTAGGCATGTATCTGTAGTCTTTATCTTTGGGGATCTGCAGCTTTGGGTTGGAGTAGAACTGTCCGATTGCCGCGACTTGAGCATCGCCTCTGTGATGGAATATTAGCCTGCGTATAAACACCAGATATATCATTTTGAAGGAGGAGCTCAGGCATACATACCCGAGTATAGTGATTCGCACAGATTTCTCCGCAGCGAGTTCTTGGAGATCCTCGATCAGCCAGCCGCGCTCAAGCTTATGCGCCTTCGAGGTCCACTGGCTATCAATCGTTTCCGTGTCTACATCGAACCTATCTCGTAAATTGCTAAATATTCCCGCCCGCCCAAGTGCCTTTACAGGATAGCTCGCCCGACTGGACAAAACGTTCTCAAGCCACACCTAGCAGTTCTGTTGTCAGTACTAATCAATCCATGTGAATTACGGTGATTGTATTAGGAAAAGAATCCAACAATACCAGGCGTGGATACGCGATAGGTACGCTTAAAAGCACGATCAAGTGCTTTGTTTCCCCCTTCATAATTTGGTCATGACAGCGAGTGAATATGAGGTCAGCAGAATCATCGATGAGCACTTCGTTTTTCTGCAATAACCCATGTCAGTTAAAAAATAAAATAAAAAATAGAAGCCTACAAATTATATCTGTTCCGGGAGCTGACTTACCGTGCGCTCAGTTTGACAATCAACTCCCAAAAACGCTACTCGCTTGCCCATATTCATAAAAACACTCCTGCTCCGCTGCCCGATATAAGGACCAGGATTTGCACCGAACAACCAGCTCGGTTCATCCAAATCTGTCTCCTCGGGCACACTCTGATGTTGGAAAAGCAGATAATACTTAAATGCCAACTCGCCCGCCCCAGACATGACGGGTGATCTCATAAGCTGATCCGGAAAAGAGCCATAACCGGGTACAATGTCATGGTCATTCCACATATTCACCATCGGGATCTGGGAATTGGCCATACTGAACAGCCCATGCGAGAACCATTTCAGATACTGCTGAAGATAAAAGTTCTCCATTTCGGATTTGATGTCAAGATTGAATGGATGATACCGTTCTTCATATGGGACGCGTAGGCCCATCCAACAGCGGAAATGTTCTGTGTCAAACAGAGCCGAGTCGTTGTATATCTGGTCGCCTCCGCCTACCATAACATGGAACGGGAGCGTTTGGTGTGTGTTTAGAACATCTCGCCAAAGGGGGTCAGGCCCACTGAACTTGTCGCGATCGGCCGATTCGCTGAACCCGTTGCCGCTGTGGAACATGATGTTCATTGACTGGCCCTTGGCAGGGACCCAGAATCCAACCGCGGAGCCCTGGTTGATCCGATACGCAATCCTCTGTTGCCAGTTGCCCAGCTCAATCTCGAGATTGAATCGCCAGAACGTCACGTCCCTCGCGGGATCTGCGTAGAGACGTGCCCCCTTAATTTCTCTGTATTTACCTACCGACTCCCCATCTTTCTCTTTGATTCGCGCATTTGGGGGTTGCGAAACTTGATTGCTCGCGGTATAGTCGATAGGGCTAGGCGATACTTCAAAGAGCCCGTCGTCGTCTTCAATGAAGGAGAGGTCTTTGGCTTCTTCAAGATGGTCTACGGGCTTCACGTAGAGTAGCTTGCCATTTCGTCCAAGCTTGGTGAGGCCGGCAATTGGATCCACATACTCTGGCGCAAGTTCACCATTCTCCCCGCTAATCTCAGTTGGCGGAGGTGGAAGCAAGCTCATAGGCTGAGAGAAAAACCGAAGTGTTGGGGGTTCCTTGTAGTCCGACGCAGAGTCCTTAGTGACTATCATAATACTCCCTCTCCATACCTCCTGCTCAATAGGCCCATTAACTCCATCTTTTTGCTCCCATTTCATCCCAGTGTACCTGAGGAGTGGCCCACATTCTAGGTACAAGGGTGGGTTAAATGGCGTGTTGTCTACGAAATGAAAGCAAGCATGATTAGTATTCGCAGATAGCAAAACATAATAGCATATATCCAAGGAAATAAATATCAGTCTTACTTTTGAGTTTCGACTTCGACGGGTGCTGTTGTTGTTGACCAGCAGAAACCGAATTGCCCCTTCGTTGCCTGCCCGACCCACCACCTTCCCACCAAGTCTTCTTGACATCGATATCTCGAAGGTCAAAATCTGCTAAACGCAGCCTCCCAACGTCTGCATTCTTCCACTCCGATACTGGCGGTGGTGTTGCGGGAGGCACAGCAAAAGAGACGCTGTGCTGTTTTCCCTTGCCATTCCTGGTGGGCTGAGGGTGGTTTACGGACATAGAGGTTTGAGGGGGTGTCGTATTGCTCAGGCCAAGGCCCACGTTGGAAGGGGTGTTATTGTTCCCAGCATCTAGCCTATCCGATCCTGCCTTGCTGTTAGACGAAACGTTGCGATTGGTAGCCGGTCGGATGTCTTGGTTGACTGGAGCTGATGATGATGATGCGATAGCCGGTGGGAATGCTCTCCTCTGCTCACGAGGATCCACTAGTAATTGGGGATTGAGGTTCCGTGGTAGCGGCTTCTGCAACTTGCGGCTATTGCTGCGCTGCACGGTTCCGGAGTTTTGGGGTTGAGGTTGAGGTATGGCTGTCTGTTGGGAGAGGTGGTTCGCGTCCTCTTGATCATCAGGGATGCGATTGTATGGAATCTGGGTTTTCTGTAACGTAGCAGCATCGTTC